AATTTCCAAAACATATTACTATGTAGGTTCTTGGACAATTTCTAAAAACATCATGTCAAAAATTTTTGATTGTCAAAACTTAGATACATGGGATTTTGCATAGATATTCATAAGAACCTAAACCGCAAATGATATAAATTTCATACATGTTTATTATGTATATATATATTTGCGCAATCAACAAAAGCGAGTGTTCCGATACTTTTGACCAGGTACTGTATGAGCAAAGGAATTGAAAAACAAAGATTAAATAAAAAAGACGGAGAAAACTTGCAAGGAAACGATTAGAAGAAGAGCATTTATATACCCGAAGTTTAAAAATTAAATTACTGCGTTTTATTTGTTTAGCTAATCTAAGTTAACTGTTTATGACGAAATATAATGTATGTTTACTTATTATTATTAGTAAAATATAATACAGTAATAGAATGAATTTGTTTTCGAAAAAAAAAAGGGAATTTATATTTTAAAAAAAAAAATCATAGTTTTGTGTTATAATTGCCATGAAATAAAATTTTGATTATCATTGAAAATATTATTGATATTATTATTATTATTATTAATATTACTACTAATAATCATTTGAGGTGGGATGTTTTTAATATTATTATTGCCATCATTATTACCATTAGTAAAGTAAAATGAAGAAGGTATTGGAGGCAACAATCTATTAATGTTAATATTATGATTAGGAAGAATCATGTTATTATCATTATCATTGTTGTTGCTGCTACTATTATTATGTTGTTTTGGATCATTAATTAATATTAATGATGATGGTGAAGATAATGAATTAATTAATTTTTCCTGCCTGTGAGGTGGATAATAATAAGGAGGTGATGGTGGAGGACAAATTTTTTTTGATAATCGTTGACATTTCATTAAACTTAAATGTTGCTGATGTTCTTGCGTATGAGTTTTATAATGTTTTTTTAAATCTTGAGGTCTTTTAAAGGCTTTTTTACATGTCTAAAAAAAAAAAAAAAAGTCAATTATAAAAGTCAATTATATGTTACATAAAACTCATATGACACAATTAAATGCATATTTATTTGTTTTATTTTATACCTGACATAGGTGTGGTTTTAATGGTACATGAACACGTAAATGACTTGTTATGTGGTCTCTTTTAGATGTTTTTATATCGCAATCCCCCCAATGACAATTAAGACATAAATTTCCCATAGATTTACGTCCTACATGATCGGTTGAAAGATGAGCGTATAATGATTCTGCATCGTCAAAAGTACGATAACAATTAGTCCATCGACAAAATATTTCTTGGCTATTTCCTTCTGATGATGGTGGTGAAAGTGGCATTTTTTTTTATATTTATTTAAAAAAAATTTTTTTTTATAATAAAAAATAATAATGATTGAAAAAGAAGAATAAAAAAATTTTTTTTTTTTTAATTAAAAAAATCCCTCGATTTATATAAATTTTTTTTTCCTCATATGATTTTCAAAAAAAAATATTGCCAAGAATTTTTCGCTGTATAAAAAAAAACTTAAATTTTGTTTACATTTCAATTTTCTGGAGTTAAGTTATTTGTGTAATTAATCTAGGCAGAAATATTATATTGCTTATAACTAAAATTAATGAACATATTTGGGAATGATGAGTTGTACAATGTAATCATTTACCAAAAATTGTTTTAATCCTTGGCGCTTATCATGTATATTGCGTTTTTTCATTTAATTTTGAATTTTTCTATTAGGATTTTTCTAATTTCTTGGTTAGATTTCAATTGAATCTTTTTGCCAAGAAAACAAGAAAGAAGATAGTGAGCTAGAGAACGCCAAAAAGAAAATTTCGGGTTATGAATTTTAACTTGGCAATTATTCTTGAATGAATTAATTGTCTATGAAATTAATTTAAAGAAATTGATTGATTTGTTTGTTAACAACGGCAACAATATGTATGAATTGATCGGAACAATATATTATCGATATTTTCGTATGGGTAAATAATTTATTATGATATCTTTTTCCCGGATTTTTTTTTTTATGCAAACAACCTAAAATTTTTAAGGTTATTATAATTAGTTACACAGTGGCAAAGTAAGTGACATCAAAACTTTTCAATTATATAGTATTAATGGAGTAGCAAATAAATTCAACAAGGACTTCTTTCCGGCTTGTTAGTTTTGTTTTTGCTTTGTTGATGGGCTGTTTCTTTTTAATCGCTTTTAAACTCATCATCATCATCTTTCAAATACAAGAGTCTTTTTCAACATCCTGATCAAAGTTAATACAGTATATAAATTGTTATTAGTAGTGCGATTTCTTTTTCTTCCTGGCTGTCGTCAATAAACTTCCAAGGATTGAATCACAGACTCCGGCACTTTGTTTTGAAGAGCCAAGATCCTGGGCTTTATCTCTTGTAATAGCAAGAACTTTTTTGTATGATTTGAGCCAAGCTTACTAAGTCGAAATACAAAATTAAAATCAAAATCCTCGATTATTTCTTTCATAGTTGACTAAATATTAATCAGCAACGCATTACTTACGTTAATACATTTAATAAGCCAATCGCACGTCTCACATGAAGCATGGTTTCTAGTATTATTGCACTTGGATCTTACCAGGGCTGGCTACGTAACTCAAATGAGCACTTGGCTAAACTGACTAAACTATCTAGTCAATGTTAAGTCAAGTTTAGTCAAGTTTAGTCAAGATGATTGTTACTAAATTAGGTTTTTAACCCCTTTACGCTGCCAGCCCTGATACAATTAGAGAATCATGACAAAATTCTCAATTTTTATAAATTGTGACAAAAGTGAACCAGTGTATTTACGATAGGGGATACTGTTTCTTTGATTTTGAATTCTTTGAGATATATATTAACTCTATCGTCAGATTTTAAATGGATCAATAGTATTCATCATGTCAAGTATACCAATCACACTGGTGACATCCAATGAAAATAATTCATATTTGCTTTATTATCGAGAAGCATAGATTAATAAACAGAATGAGAGAAGCATACAAGATGTTGTAACCTGCCCGCATTGCTCCCCATCAGGAAGTAATATGCCCTACTCAAATTAAAATTAATAGTTGCTGCTATTATTGCTCACATCAAAGGAGGGTGCATATGAAACATTACAAGGACGTCGACAGGACTAGTTGTCTAACCATTTATCATATGTTAGATTCACTCTATTACCATAGTCGTTATTGAATTGAGATTGTAGCCTGAATGTCGACCATTTTTTGTTCACATAAGAAACCCAAATGATTTTTTTCATCATAACCACTACAAACTTTTCAGGGACTGACCCTTTTTAGTACCAGCTCACGTACATTTGTTTCTGCATGGGTTTAAGTTTTTCATCATCGTATTTACTTTGTGGATTGCTTGGTTTCCCCCCGAACAATCTATTGATGGCTTCTAATAAGTCTTTTGATCGACGATATTCGCACATCAACAATGTCTCGTAGCATAATGTTGATGTATTACTTGCATTCTTAGGAACCAGCCAATATGTTTGTGTGTGTTGAACATTATCATGATTTATAACAAGAAAATTTGTGCTATAAAGGAATTATTTACTCGGTTTAAATTAACATCCAAGGCAACACTTTTAATACTTAAAAATATCAGCCAATATCTATATTATTTTTGGTAATAGTAAACAAACAAACTAAATTAATGAATAATTTCTTTTTAATGCTAATTTCTTTTTTTCTTTAATTCCTACTTCTTACCACGTTTTTAAATTCAAAAAAATAAAGGAAAAACAAGTGACATCGACTTGGTTGCTTGCCTAATAATTATTTATAAAATATAAAATACAAAATATTGTGTGGGTCAAATAAATTATCTCAAAATCGTTATTTTGACGCTTGATGTTTCTCCATCGTCCATGAATGCCACATTTATCTATAATAAACTACCTTCTTGTTAAATTTATTTTTATTATTATACAATTGGAAATATACTGAAAATTAAATGATCCTTTGATAGAATACACATGTAACTCGAAAAAGTCGGTCATTTATTTATATTATCAAGCGCTTTAAACCGTTAATTGCTTGCGTTCGACTTTTCGAGTTACGTATTTATACGTGTAGATATTTTCGTCAAAATTTTGATTAAATTAACTAATTTTTGATTAATAAATAAATCAATGGATTTTCTTCATTAATATGCTTAGAAACACGCATTTTCTTATTAATATCATGCAAAAAATTATTTGGTTGCTTGTTAGTCGCTTTACTTTTTATTCTTCCCCAGTGTGGATTTCAATTATTAGGTAAATAATCAACGAAACTACACATCAACCATCATTTCTCATCAAACATATTTTACGGAATTGGAAAAAGGTCAACAGCAGTAGAAAAATAAATGACAAGAATTATTTCTTCTTAATTTCTCTAATTTTTTTTAACCCTTGGAACTATTTTTCAAAAGCATCTAAAAGTGACATTCACAACCATGTAAAACAACTCTCTGATGTCGAAGAGCCTGACCCCGCTTTAATTATTATCCCAAATTCTTGTTGGACCAACTAAAACGATCAGAATGCATACAATAGGTCATAAAACATTTAATATTCGTCGTGCGAATCAGCAATTCATCTTGCATTTTCACTCCCGATATATGCAAGAACTTTTCAGTGTACATGAAGCCATCAAAACTCTGCATGTATTCCACCTTCCTACCGTGCCCAAAATTCTGGTGGTCAGCTCGTACCAATTGGAACGGCCTGGTAACTTTCAAAGATCAAACTAATTTTGTGGAGGAGCGGCTTTTTTTTCTTGTATAGTAAAGTCTTAATTTTCAGAATTTAACAATTCGGAGATTCCTGTTCTTTAATCTCTTAATCTCAATCATTATAAACAAAGTCAATATAATCAATTCTATTTTTCACCTTATGAGAGAATACTTGTCAAGAAAATGGACTTTGTTAATACCTACCTCCACAAATTTTTGGTTTCACGACCAATTGCACATGTAATGTTACATTTGTCCACCGCATAATTCATTCTTATGACGGATGATGTAATGGAAGTTTGGTTTCAGTAGCATTTGTTTCTAACCTAATGCTTTTTGGCGTACCATGCGTACAAACTTCGTTAGTGTTAAACTCAGCCTCTAGGAACAGTTTTTTTATTGATAATTATTTTGAGAAAAATTATTGAAAGTGGTGGGTGACACAATATTTTTGTATAATCTATATAGAGAATGATAACAAATAAATAAATGAGAACAAATTGTCAACAAAATGCAAACTATTTTTATTTTAATCAAGCTTTTAATATTATTTTCTGTTTCTTCATGGCTAATATTATTTTCAATAACACCTTCCTTCACTGGGAGACAAAAACAACAAAAACAAGAAAAAACATTTCATGAAAATAATAATAATAACAACAGCAATATTACCACCAATAAGGATATTTGTTCTATATCCAGTAGATCAAATGATTGTGGATATTTTGGTATAACAGAATTTGAATGCGTGTCTAGAAATTGTTGCTGGAGGCCAACAAACGAAGAAAATGCTAATTGGTGTTTTTATAAGGATGCAAGTCATTACACATGTAGCGTTGATAAATTTGATAGAGCACCTTGTGGTTTTGAAGGAATTGATAAATATTATTGTAACAATATACTTAATTGTTGTTGGGATGATAGTGATGATGATGTTAATAATAATGTTGATTGTGATGGCGTTGATCAGCAACGGCATTACAGATCCTCATCACCTTTAAAATGTTTTAATCGTATACAAAGGTGTGATGGATATAAAGTTAAAAATTATAAAAAAGACCTTCAACATGGTCTTAAATGGGAAATTGATTTGGAACTGATTTCTGTTAATTATAATAATAATATCGGATGTGGCATTTTTGGAAAAGATTCAAAGTATTTAAAAGTGATTGTAGAACATCAGACAAAAGATAGATTACGTGTGAAAATATTTGATCCATATGATGCAAGATTTGAAATACCAGATAATATTGTACCAATTCCAGATATTGAATTGAATTCAGAACAAAATCAAGATATCAACTACAATTTCACATTTACCAAAGATCCATTTACCTTTTCAATTTATCGTATTAATAATAATGGTGATGCCGAGAAAATAATTGATACAAATGTCAAAAATACGAATACTCTTGTATTCGAAGATCAATTTATGGAAATGTCATTTGAAGTTGTTTATTATTATTATTAGAAATCTTTTAAATATATTAATTAATTGGATTATTTATATATTTATGTATATTAATGTATATATTTATTTATTTATATTTATATGTGTGATTAGTTACCAGACGATCCATTTATCTATGGATTAGGTGAAATTGTTTATGCTTTACGAAGAAATCCAAATGGAACTTTACAAACTATTTGGGTAAATAATCACATTACGTTTATATATATCCATAAAATAATTTTCTAAAGTATTTACTCCCTCCTCTTCTATATAGACAAGAGATGCTCCTACTCCAATCGATCAAAATGGTAAAAATGTTAACTATTATTATAGCTATAATAACAATAATAATTAACCAAAAATATGAATTTTTGTTTTTATTTTATTTTAATTAAAAAATTAGTTTATGGTGCTCATCCATTTTACTTAGAGATGAGAGATGGTAAAGCTCACGGAGTGGTAAGTGACGATTATTACTATTATCAATAATTATAATTATTAATCGAATAATAATCATAACAATAATAACAACAACAATAATATTTTTATTGTTTAAATATATTTTTTTTAAATTACCAACTAGTTTTTAAGAAATTCAAATGGAATGGATGTTAAAATTTTACCTGGAAATCCTGCAAAATTAACTTGGAGAGGTAAAATAAAAAAAAACATATATTCTATTAACATATATCTATTTATTATTCATTGATCCATCTTTATTTTTTTAATAGTAATTGGTGGAGTATTTGATTTTGTTGTATTTCTTGGACCATCACCTATGGATGTTATAGCACAATATACAGATGTAAATATTATTAATTATTAATTAATTATTTAATTAATAGTTATGAATTAATTTATTTATTAATCTATTAAAATTTAGGTCATAGGTAGAAGTGAGCTTCCACCATATTGGAGTTTAGGATATCATCAATCTAGATGGGGATACAACAATGTAATTATTTAATTATTAAAAATATTTTTTATTACGTTAATATATATTTATATTTATATATATATTTTTTAAAAAAACCATACACACGCATATGTATAGTTGTCGGTTTTATCAGATGTTGTTTCAAGATTTCGTAAAGAAAATATCCCACTAGAAACAATTTGGACCGATCTTGACTATATGGAAGGTCGTAAAATATTTACTTGGGATAAACATAATTATCCCAAAGATCAAGTAAAAAAATTTATTGATGAATTACATAGAAACGAGCAACATTATGTTGTGATAGTTGATCCTGGTTTAAAGATTGAAGATGGTTATGAACCATATGATGATGGTGTTAAAAGAAATGTTTTCATCAAAAATTCAGATCTTGATAACGTTGTTGGAAGAGTATGGCCTGGTAAGTAATAAAATTGTTTTGGTTTGAAAATTTTTTTTAAGAAAAGGTATTTTTTAATTTTTTTTTAACGTAATTTTTTATAGGTTTGACAGTATTTCCTGACTGGTTCAACAATGAAACAGAAATTTACTGGGGAGATATGATTGAGAAATGGTTGGATGGTATTAATTTGGATGGGCAAGTTAAAAATTGAATAATATCATCAAAAGTATTATTAATAAATATCACTTGTAACAATTAATAATTTTAATAAATATAAATTAGCATATGGATTGACATGAACGAACCAGCCAATTGGTGCAATGGCGAATGCGGTAAAGAAGATGGAGATGATGTTGTATTGAATAAACCATTATATAGAATAAATAATGGTGGATCTAAACTACAATTGAATACTCTGACGCTTCCAATGAATGCAATACACGTGAACGGTTTTACTGAATACAATGTACACAATTTATTTGGTCATATGGAAGCTATTACTACCCATAAAGTGTTAGCTGAAAGAATAAATAAAGGAAAACGACCTTTTATAATTTCAAGGTCTACCTTTCCTGGTTCTGGAAAATACACTGGACATTGGACAGGTGATAATAAAGCACAATGGGAACATCTATATTTGTCTATACCAGGAATACTTAATTTTCAGTTATTTGGAGTACCTATGGTTGGGGCAGATATTTGTGGGTTTGATGGTCCTACAAATGAAGAATTATGTTTACGATGGATGCAATTAGGGTCATTCTATCCATTCATGAGGTATAAAATATACTAATTATAATTATACAGAATGATGACAATGATAATATTAATATAATTTCTATTATTATAATAGAAATCACAATTCTTTAATGGATCCAAGTCAAGAACCTTATATTTGGTCTTCGGTTAAAAAAACTTCGCGTAAATATTTAAGTATAAGATATTCTTTATTACCATATATTTATACATTATTTTATGAAAATAATAAGCATGGTAAAATAATCTGGAGACCGTTGTTCTTTGAATTTCCAAACTCCAAAAGATCTTTGTTTATCGATAGACAATTTTTGTTAGGTCCAGGATTATTGATATCACCTGTGCTACAACCAAACACTACAACAGTAGAGAATGCTTTTATTCCAGATGGTTTATGGTATGATTTTTATACAAAAAAGTTATCATATAACACAACAAATCATAATGGTGAGAAAGGTGATGGAGAATTTGTTAACATAGAGTCGCCTTTAGATCATCTCTCTTTGTTAGTTAGAGGTGGTAATATTTTACCATTGCAATACCCTGGACTAACAACAAAATCTTCACGAAAATCAAATTTCTATTTAATTATTGCATTGGATGAATCCGGCTACTCAACCGGAAATCTCTATTTGGACGATGGAGAATCTTTGACAGTTGAACAAAATTATTCTTATATAAATTACAAAGTATTGGATCATGCTAATTTAATATCAAATTCTAAATTCTACGGTTACAAATTATCATCAAATCAAGTCATTGATAAATTAGTAATCATGAATGTAAAAATTGAAAATAATAATGATCATTATTTGGAAAACAAAAATTACAAGATTAAATTAATTTACAATAACATTGCATTAAATAATTATAACTATACATTATTCAACCAAACATTAATTTTAACGGATTTAAAATTATCGATAAATTCTTCATGGAACTTAACATGGATTATATATTAAACAAGTTATTATTTATTATATATTGATAAAAAAGAATATATTATTTCATACGCATAAATGCAAACACAATCATACTACCAATAATAAGACCTTGTAAAAATCTATCATTATAATATGATTTCTTTAAAGGTTTTTTATCATCTGCATGAAATATAAGTTTAAATTATTTTAATTAATATTTACATTAATATATAATTTTTTTTTAAAAAAAATTTAAACTACTGACTATTTATTTCCTTTTCCTTTTCTTTTAGATCATCATCTTCATAATTATAATCAAAATAATTAAAATATCCTTCCCTTTGATCATCATCGTCATAATTATCATGTTGTTTATTATTATTATTATTTTTTAATAAAATTTTATCTTTCAACATATCTCTTCTCAATGATTTAACTCCAATCATTATCAAATTTATCCATTTATTTTCTTTATCATCATCATCATCATCATTGCTACTATTATTATTAAATCCCATTTGTTTCAATTGATCTTCTTTTAATCTTAAAAATTTTCTTCCATTAAAATTTGTGGTATCTTGTTTAATATAATTTGTCAATTCTGATATGATTTTTGGTGGGTATGATAACGATGATGATTGTAAACAGTAATAAAGATATTCGGAAACATGTTTGGATGTCCAATTTTTTGGATCTGATGGTAGATTATTAAGATGACGATAAGTAGTAATGGTAGGAGAAGAAGAAAATGATGATGATGATGATGATGATGATGAAAAAGATTTAAAGGATGAGAAGGAGGTAGGGGTAGGAGGAGGAGTAGATAGTAATATGGTTGTTGTTGTTGATGATGGCGGTGGTTTTTGTCTAGTAGTTAGATTCTTATTCTTATAATTTGAAATTGGATCAGAAGTCATCATTATTTATCCTCATTAAAAAATTAAAATTAATTCGTTAGCCAAATCATTAATTTTTTTTTAAAAAAAAAAGGAGTTGGGAAATTATTTATTCCAAATATTTATTTATTTTCATTCAGGGGAAAATTTTTCTGTAAAATGTCATGTGTGTTCGTTTAATAAGTTAATTTAAAAAAAGCAGTTTATTTAATTTTTATTGTTCAACACTGAGATTACTATTATTACTATTACTATTACTAGTACTTATTATTATTATTATTTATTCGATTGAAAGGATAAAATCGAAAATTTTCCGTATCACGATATCCTTCTAAAATTCGTAGTTTGTAATTTTCGTGTTAATTAATTTTTTTTATGTTTGATTTGTTGTGCTCTGCATTTTCACCCTATTTAGCAAACATTGGGTCATACGGCAAAGATTGGATTTCTTGAACGAGCGAGCGAGCGAGGCGATTGAAAAAAAAAGAGAGGGAGAAAAAGTGAGAGAGAGGAGAAAGAGAAGAGGAGAGAGGAGGGTCAATGGCTAATTATATAGAGAGAAAAACCAATGATCTAGTAAATTTTTTTCTTTTGAATATATATATTTTCATTCGTTGTTTGCGCGTGTCTGCTCTTTCACACTTTAGGAAGATGTCGTGATAAAGCTAGACTAATTTATTATAAAACATGCATGTGCGGCTTTATTTGACAGTTTTTAACGTCTGAAATTTATCATAAAAAAAAAAAAAAATACATAACAAAACTCGTAGCGCTGCCTTTTTTCCTTGTTGGAATTTTTTTTTTTTTTGCTATTTTTGGTTTTGTGTGAAAGAGTGATCTATGTTTTCCTTATGAAAATTTTTTTTTCTTTAAAAAAAGGTTGATGTATTTTTTTTACAATCAATATTTTCATTCGTTACTCGATGGATGGTGTGCTCTTTTTTTTATTTTTTTTTACTATCCGTGACTGCATCGCAAAACAAGACAATTCTTTGACAAAAATAAAAAATAAATAATAATAATAAAATTTATTGTTTATAGATAATTGTGGAGCCAAATTGATTAATTTTACAATAATTTAATGCTTTGCCATCCATGCCAACCAAATTTCTTGGGCTGTTGGCTGTAACGACCAAGATCAAAATTATTCGTGACATGTGTATGTAGCGATACCAATTTTCTACACATCTCAGCCCAAAAATAAATCACGCGTAAGGTGAAAGGACTTAAAAAATTCAATGTTACTATTAAATATGGAAGGGTCTTCGAGTACGAAATTCCTTTTGATTGTCTAATTCATTTTCACACATTTGTGAATTGCAAACAAAAAAAGGAGAAAAGTGTATGACTAAGAAAGTGAATTCTTACCTTGCGAGCAGCAGACAATACCTTCTAATGTATTAGTAAATTAATATTTAAATTTTTTACACTGGTGAAAAAAATTAATAATATTCATGGAAGAAGTCAGTTCACTAAAATAAAAGCTTGCAACCACCTCTACTGCTCCTAATATTGCCATGGCTACTTCAAATCCATCAACTTTCAATGATTCTGGTGTTCTTTAGTCAGGAATAAGATTCTCAAAAATTTCAAGCTTTCAAAGTCTATATACTCAATCATTTTCCTTGCCAAGTTATTAATTAATAGGATCTTGTCACAAATATTTGGTAAAATTTATCAAAAAAACCTCAAATGTATTAGTTGAAATGATAGCTTGATCTGAATACACATGTAATAATCTGATTCAATTGTCAGAGAAGAAAAAAATTGTCCAAGAAGAAAAGCAATAATATCATTGTATCAAGTACAGGTTGATGATTGGATATCCAAAGATATATTGAGGCAAAATGGTGGAAAGGATACTACTACTATATCATTAAAACTTGATTAATTGATGATATACCTTGTATAATAAAGATATTCCCCGCTAATAGCTAAGATTCCAAATGGGTCACTCAAATCTGAATTGAGGATAGTCATATTTTCAAGCAAGACCTTTTTTTATATATAGTATAAATTTAATTATTGATCACAGTGTTGGTGTGTAAGTACTATATATGTAATATGCATTCATTGGACTGGTTAAAAAGAATATATATATTTTTAACACGAAAAAACTTATAAATTTATTTTATTAAAGAAATCAATGTTTTTTTCTAAATGGCATAACAATATCTTTAACCATAAATGTGCCACCATTTTTCAAAAAACAATCTTAGATTCCTGTTTCTGTATTTTGTCCTACATAATAAAAAGGGATTTTGATCTAAACTTTTTTTTTATAATAATTCAAAAAAATGTCATTTCAAAATTTATTGTCATCATTATCATTAGACAGAGAAGATTTTGTGTATAGAATTTATTATAAAGTACATGATAATTCTGTACCAATTGGAAATGATATTTATGATAATAATTCATCAAACACATCCTTCAGAGAAATCCAAAAGGCTACATTTTTATCATTAGTAACTGAAAATGAAAAACTTTCAGAAAATGAAAAAGAATATTGTAAAGAAAGATATATTTATGAATTGGAATTAGATAATGCAACTTATAAATGGGGTGAATTAAAAGAATGTAACAATTGCAAATTAGGCAGTTACTCAGACAGATTTTGTGAAAACTGTATTTGTTTACATTTACAGAAGCTTTTTGATACATGGTCATCTGGAAACAGCATCATTGACAATTTTATTCAAGAATTTCAAAAGCTCTCATCTCTTCCTACACGTATTGTGGAATGGATCCCATTTGATCAATTTGTAGGAGTGAAATATTTAACTAAAGGAGGTTTTGGTAGCATTTATGTTGCCACATGGAAAAAAGGGAGTATATTTGACTATGATGAAAATAAAAAAGAATTTATTTATCATGGACCTCAATATGTAGCATTAAAACTATTAAATAATTCAAATGAATTGGGGAAAAAATTTTTTGATGAAGTCAGTAGTAAATTATTTTAAATTAAAAATTATATTAATCATTATATAAATTGATTTTTGTATAATTTTTCAGGCATTAAATTATTGTAAAATTAAATCTGGAGCTATTGTTTCCTGTTATGGTATAACTAAATTCCCAGAAAATAACAACTATGCAATGGTTCTAAATTATATTCCAGGAGGAAATTTAAGAGATTATTTGCAAACAAATCATTCACATTTAACTTTAAAAAATAGAATTACAATATTTGAATATTTATGTGGCTCATTAAATGATATACATCAAAAAGATTTAATACATTGTGATTTACACAGTGGTAATATTCTAGTACAAGGAAATTGGTGTTTTATCACAGATTTAGGATTATGTGGGCCAGTTGATGATGAATCATCAAACAAAATATATGGAATTATATCATATATTGCACCTGAAGTTCTTTGAAAAACAAGCAAAAATACAAAAGAATCAGATGTATATAGCATTGGAATGTTGATGTGGGAAATATTTTCAGGACATCCACCTTTGATGATAGAGCACATGATCATCATTTAATTATGGAAATTTGTAAAGATTTAAGGCCACCAATTTTATCAAATATGCCAGAAGAATATGCAAAAATGATGCAAAAATGTTGGGATGTTGACCCATCTAAAAGACCAACTATTGATGAACTTAATGGTTTTGCTCAATTCTGACAAAGGTTAATTAAATTTTATTATCATCAATTAATTTAATTGATTTTTTTTTTTTAATGATATTAATTAAGATTAATTAAAATTAGATTTTATTAACAATAAAATTAATGAAGGGAGTGGTGTAGAAAAGATGGAAATGGTTGACAAAATTAATGAGGATAATGAAATGATTGTAGAATCAATCAAGGTAATATATACAATAGTATTTTATATTTTAAATATATATTAATAAATGGTTAATCAATAAAATTTTTATTATATATTCAACAGATGAAATTTAACAGTGCAGTGATTGTTTAAATTTTTACTGGTAAAGTTTTGTTATTTATTTATTTTTGATTTTTATTCCTTATTTATAATGAACAAATAATTTACTTTATTAATTAAAACATTAGTTGAAATTAAGGATTATATTAATAATCAAGGTAATTATTATTATTATTTGGTAATTTAAATATTTTAATTACAAAGTAAGACGATAAATAACAAAAATTTTTAAATTAATTTTAGAAATTATGATGATGGATGAATTGTCAATGGATGATTAATTGAAATGATTGATATATTTCATAGTAATTGGTTGACCTTTGCATGAAAAGTTGTACTATACTTTTGTTCTACTATATAATTTTTTTGTGTTCGCAGATAGAAAAACTCAGACTATTGATATAATTTTTTTTCTATGCCTGTATCAAAAAAATTTTTTATTATTTTGAGATGTAGAGACTATATATTATTTTTGAGGCAGGTTCATAGACGGATTATATCATTTATCAATTTATTTAATTATTTATTAATTATTTATATTAATTACTTATTAATTACTTATTAATTATTTATATTAATTACTTATTAATTACTTATTAATTATTTATATTAATTACTTTTTATGAGTGACTCCTGTAATAAAATTTTCTTCTTTTTGAACAGTTTCTTGTAACAGTCAGGGGATGTTAATTTTGTTGAAAGTTTGCAAATATATGTTATAATGAATAGACTGTCCCATGGAACCTTTTCCACTTTATTAATTTTGCAAGATCATCTTGTACATGATCTATGGAAGCCTAGTGGTGTTGAAGGTTTAATTATTGTTTGTTTCACTTCACAATAGTTGCTGGCTTACAATCATTTATTAAACGTTTTCCTTGTCCAAGGCTGAGACATGTAGTGACAATTTCGAGGGCTATTATCATAGCCTGCCGTTGTATTGATCCATGAGTGTCAGCATTGAGGCACGTAGTGCCGAAATAGTATTCGTTATTTGTTTTGTTTTTTGATGCCTGGGTTATGTAGTGCCAAAGTGGTAAGCTGTATTTTGCTTTATACGTTGCATTTGATTGCTATGTTTGAGTCACGTAATGCTGAAATGGTATACTCTTGATGTTTGCCGGGGGCACAATTATATATATATAGCTTTGTAATAATTTTACCTTTGGTGGACATCGACCATACACACTCTTGGTGGACAATTTTTTCTTCGAATTATACTGCCGAAATTATATATCTATCCACTTCCACTTGACGTCTATTCAACTACAATTTTGTATAATAAAATTCTTACAAAAACTCATCCAGATGTGGTGGTAATGACCCCCATGTTATATCTTTCTATAGTAATTATGCTTTGGATACCACTTCTCCAAAAATCCGCCTATACTTTTCCACATTATCCATACTAAAAAATTGGATCTCATTTTTGGGTATCACCAACTCGAGGTGGCTTTGGATACTACTCCATCAAAAAATCGAGGCATATTTTTGTATTCTACCAAGTCGCGGTAGCCTTGGGTACTACTTCATCGAAAAACTGATCATACTACCGAGTCAGCTTTTGAGGTCTGACTTTTTCTGCATTGGCAAATATCATGAATCCACTCGAACATTGGGAAATGATGGCAATTACAGTTGAGAACTTTCCAGTATATGATCTTAGCAAATGCCACAAAATTAATAGTACATGGAGTAAGAGGCTGTTTGCCGAAACTAGGGAGTTTCGGCAGAATGGCGTATGCGAAACCGCCGAATAGTTTCGGTAAATCATTCTGAAATGGTGAAACTACCGAAACTATAGTAATAGCTTAGTTTTGGTAAGATTTAATAATCAAACAACCATTTGTCAAACATCTACGACAACGATATAATGCATAAATACACTCGAAAAAACTGTCTGGTGAAACTATGCCTGGTGAAATTAATGTGATGAAACTATGTTTGATAAATTAATATTCGAAATGGAGCAAGATGCTAAAAAATTTTTCGATAGAACTGCGCTGGCCAAGTGGATTCCTTTACGAGGAGAGCGAAGAAATTTAGATGTTTATAACTGTTACAAAGTCTCAATAAATTGGAAGCTTTATTTATCGAAGATACTGTAATTTTGGTCTACACTTAGAGTTTACGAAACACGAAGCTCGTGAGAATGGCGTTGGCGTTACTCACTCAGGGCCAATTGGTATGTCAACTGTTATTCGACTTGATCGATAAAGCCAAACTCGCACTATTTTTTAAGGAGCAGGCAGAAATAACACTGTCGGAATGGAAAGATCTTTTACACGTCTGACAGGACCACTACTAAATCCAGAAAGGCAAGCTCGCCTCCTGATCTCACAGATGGAACCAAACCATTGCCATTCGTAAACACAATAAACATCGTGATAAAGGTTTTTTGGACCAAGCGGAATTCCCAACTCAGTCGAGGTACCCGGCAGAACTACTAATACTAAACATCTGAACCAGCTAAATATCCCGAACGAAATAATTGGGCCGAATGTGAGGAATATCGTTATTAGGAAATTTAAAGTGGGAAGGCGCTTTTGGATCCTCCAGCCAAAATTGGTGGTATAGTTCATAAAGAGGGATATCAATTTACCAAATTATTGTTTATTATTGTTTGATATTCATCGAAGATGAACAAATAGCTTCTATTGCTTGTCCCTAAGTGTGAAATAATAATTGATTTTATTATGAATGGATTTATTCAAACATTGTATTTTTCTACCCATAATCCTGATCTGGTTTTAAAGTTATGCTTGGCCATCGAAAGTTGGATGTACTTTCTTAATAAAAAGAAATTAATAGTGATATATAATGTTTTTATTATGCATATATGGGATAATTTTTTTGTGTTAATTGGACATAAAGTATTTTCTGGAGAATTGCAAATTGGTAACTAGTACATACAATATTCCTCTCTTGGTTGAATCAAAACATTACTCATCTTTTTTGTTATTATTTAATCCTTACCTTGAATGTAGATGTCTTTGATTCCACCATTTTATCATGCATGTCCATCACAATACTTGTGATGATTATGCAATCAATGCTTCCAAATTGTATACAATTACAAGATGTAGAATCTTTGAAATCAATTTTTCAAAAAATGAAATGAATAATATTAAACCTAGCATTGAGCTTAGATGTCAAGTTTAACAAAATTATCCCTTTTACATCCTACGCAACACTGTTTGCTATCCTCACGTTGGAAACAATGATCTCTGGCAATGAAATAAATCAAAATCCACTGATGGTATACCAGTATTCTGCTTACTTTTGCTTGAACTAGTGTTAGGTGTGAAACTATTTTGAAATGGCAAAAGTTTATAGTTCTGCAAAAAAGCCCAGGAAGAATTTATCAAAGAAACAGAGAATTTAGAAAAACAATCATTTCCTATATAAATTTTAATGGGATGTATCAAATCTGTAGAATGTGCAAAGCTGCAATCTAAAAAATAATAAAATGAAATAAATCAATTTCTAACCTGATTGTATAACTACAAAGATCGTCAGCAACTGAACATTTATTTCATACCGCCAGATATCATCTGCCTCATAGTGACCAAGGCTCCACGTGAGTTGGCTTCGTGAGGAGCTTTAACAGTGACCATTTGGGACAATGAAACTGAACATAGGTGTTGAAAAGCCAAATTTCAGATTTGATTTACTAATGTATTATCATTCATACCATACACCAATATGAGTCGGGAATTCAATTTCAATCAAATTCAGAGCCCCCGAGCCACCCTGGATTTTCCATTGTATCATACTGTATATTTCAGGACTTGAGGGTTGTATTAATCCTTTTAGAAAGAAGTGATCTAAAGTCTTAATAAATTGAAACATGAAATGATTTTATTTGGAACCAGAATACAGTGTGGAACATTCAATTCCAGAAAATTTTTTGTGGAAACTAAAATTTGCACAGCTTAACCAAATTAAGCTTAATTTATATATTTTAAAATGAAAAATAAAGATGAGGTATGTGCCTAAACTGTGATACATTTTTGTAACACTAACACTTTGAAAATTTTTTTTTTCACTAATAGCAAAGCAATGACCGCCAGAAAAGAAACCCAACACCAAACAATAGAATTTTATTGGAATAAAGGCATCCAAAATGCCAAAGAAATTTGCAAAAGAACAGGAATAGCCTCCTCTACCATCTATGATAATATAAAAAAATTAAAAAAGACTGGTACTACAAAACGTGCTAGTGGTAATATTCAACCCCGGAAAATGTCAAATAGTGCATTACGTCATTTAAGGAAATACATTTGCCAGGATTCTTCACTTTCAACTAGGACATTGGCCACAAAACTGTCTCAAACGGGTGTGGAGATATCACATGTTACTGTAGGAAGGCACTTGGCTAATATGGGGTATGAAAAAAATCTTCCTACTGCAACCCCAATGCTTACCACTGCTCATAAAGAAAAACGGGTAGAATGGGCAAATAAACATCTCAATGACAATTGGGAAAGGACTTTGTTTACAGATGAGACTGCCTTTCAGCTCTTCCAAAACACAGTAGAACATTGGCATAAAAAAGGAGAACGGCCCATTCGTCGCATTCCTAAAGATCGTACAAAGATTTTTGCTTGGGGTGGATTTTACAAAAATGGAAAAACAAGTTTATTTTGTTTTTCACAGATTATGGATGCTCAATTTTATGTGAATATCCTTCGTGACCATATTCCTGAGGTTAAAAAGGTTTTGGGGAGTAGATGGCGGTTCCAGCAAGACAATGACCCAAAACATACAAGTAAACTTGCTAAAGAATTTCTTGCTGAGAATGTGCCGCAAGTTATGGACTGGCCTTCCAATAGTCCTGACTTGATTCCAATTGAAAACCTTTGGAGTATTTTTAAGACTAACGTTGAGAAACGGATGCCAAAAGACCAGACTGAATTAAAAAAATTTATGAAGGAGGAATGGGAAAAAATTCCAAATTCCACTCTTAGTAATTTAGTGGATTCTATGAAAAGGCGTTGTGAACTTGTAATTGAAAAAAAATGGGGAACGCCATCCCTTATTAAAAAAAATTATAATAATAAAGAATTTACATTTGTTTTCCAACTTTCATATATTAAAATTACATGTGATTTTGATCATTGGTTGTGAAGTAATGAATAATTTTTTAATTCCGGAATTGAATGTTCCACACTGTAAATGAACGTTAAAGGTTTTCGTCATCATTTAATAACATCTTTGATATGATCTCAACTAAGACAGGTGAATGATGATGAGAAACGTTGAAACGTGCGTAAAAATCAAAAAAAAATCCTCCCTCCTTACGAATCTCTCCAGTGCTGGTAATATCCCCGCAACAAATACTATTTCAAAGAGGCCGTATACAAGTTAGAGGTTCTGGTCAGAAATAAAAGTGATATTGGAATATTGTGACTATTTGAAATTCTATCCATTACCAAAAGTCACAATTCTTTTTAGGGGAATACAAGTGATGATGGCCTGTTCAACAAAGCATCCAATAAATAAAAGTGCCATGGATCAAGCGGGAGACTCAAGTTAAACTTCTTCCCACTTACCCTTGAATAATGTTCTGTTTTTTCACAATTTTTTTTTATTTATTTATCACGTTTCATACATTTTTCATTTATTCTTTTATATCCATTAATATTCTTATTATTTGATTGATGTTAATAATAAGAATTATAATAGTTAATAGTTAATCTACTTTTCTGCATAGATAAATTATAATCAACACGATTTTAAATCCAACTTTACAAAACTGGAACTGAATTTAAACCAAATTTAAATTGCAGTTGGTAGACAGTCGTTTTTTTCATTACATAAAAAAAAAATAATAAAAACTAAATTAATTATACAAATAGAAATTAATATTAATTGATTATATTATTCCTCTAAGGAATGTATAAAGTCAGAGTTTTTGGGGGAATTAAATAATAATAATAATAATAATAATAATAACAACAATAAATGATGATATGATACTATCATTTATTATATATCTCAGGTAGTTCGAAATTGATTATTTGAGGTAAATAAGCACATGCTGATAAATCTAAAACATATAGATCATCATATACTGTTTGTCCATCGTATCCTCCAAATACAAAAAGCCTTGAATCGTACAAAACTGATGAATGATATCCGCGTTCAGTTGGCCGTGTTCCATAAACTTTACGACTTTCCCATTGCATTGTAACTTTTATTATTATTATTATTATTATCATTATTAATCATGAATCTTATTTATATATATTTTTAATAAATAATGAATGAATGAATGAAAATACCTAAATTCAGCAGCAACAAATCAGATGAATATTGTGTGCCATTATGACCACAAATAATAAATAAATATGATCCAACTCTAGTTGATGTATGTGAAAGCCTTTTATAAAATTTTTCACTATGAACTTGGATCCATTTATTTTTTTCTATTTGTGAATTAAATAAATAAATGACATTTTATTATTATTATTATTATTATTATTATTATTATTATTATTATTATTATTCCTATTAATGCTATATTATTAATTGATTAATTACCTAAATCCAAAATATGAACATCGCTAAAACATTCGAGTCCATCACTTCCCCCATAAACAACTAACTTGCTTCCAACCAAATTACTAGTATGGTATCCCCTAGAAATTGGTGCACGTCCACTAGGTTCTACTTTTTTCCACACCAAGTTGTTTAAATCAGATACATTCAACATGTGAACGTCATTGAGTGCTCGTGCACCGTCTCCACCACCAAACACATAAATGCTATTATTATAGTATGCTGTAGTATGTGCACGACGTGGTAATGGTATATCTCCGGTTGTTTCAGGCTTACTCCACGATAATGTATCTAAAAAAATTTCAATTACTCTTTGTTCAATTGGGGGGTTTTTTTTTCAATAATAATGATCAATCATCTTTTTAATACCTGTATCAAAAATATATAAATGATTAAAGTATACTGAACCATCTCCTCCACCAAATATAAATAACTTTTTATCAACAAGTGTTGATGAATGTGCACGACATGGCGGAGGTGCTTCTCCAATGACTCTTGGTTTATTCCAATACATAGTATCTAAATTATATTTTTAATAATAATAATATATATATATATATGTGTGTATATATGGATAAACCTTTACAAACATAATAATATATGTACCTGCATCAAAAACATAAACAGTATCAAAACATGTACGTAAATCACGCCCTCCAAATACGTACATCAATTCCCCAACTAAATTAACTGTATGTCCCCTCAAAGCCTTGGGTATTTTACCGTTTGTTTTTATTTTTGTCCAATACATAGCAGGTGCGGGAGCAGGTTCAATTAACAGGGAAGGTGTTGATTGTTCATTTGTATTATTGTGTCTTTTTCCATCTCCTCGATGATGATAATGATTATGGTGACGGTAATAATTATGGTGCTGACTATGATTATGATTATTATGATTAATGCCGTTAGATTTCTTCGATTGATTAGTTTGAACAGTTTGTTCGTGTTGATTGTTTTGATTAGATTGATCAAGTTGCATCGGACTGAGACTACGTCGAATTGGTGGTACTTGTTTAGGAGTCGAGCTATCAGGAGACGACAGGCTAGAAGTTGAAAAGGGACTTTGCGGAGAGGTTGTTACAGGAGAGGCTACTTTAGAAAGGAGAAGGTAAACGAACAGCATAATATAAATTTACATGGTTAGATACAATGGAAGATGGTTTTAAATGAAGTTTGTTTTAACTGATTTTTTGAATTGATTAAACTTTTTTGTAGATTCATGATTTTGGGACGCACTTGAGGAATTTACCAAAACAACGCTACTATGATTGTTATTTGACGATGTAGTAGTAGTAGTAATAATGGTAGAAGTGGTAGAAGTAGAAGAAGTAGAAGAAGTAGAAGAAGTAGAAGAAGAAAAAGGAAAAGAATGAGTTGGTGGAAGAGTTGGTGATTCAGGATAAGCTGGTTTGGTCGTGTCTAAATCGGCATCACCATCATACGACTTGTTCTTGCTTTATTTAATAAAAAATAATCATTAAAAAATTACAAAAAAAAAAAAAAGAAAATAATTAAATTGAAAAATTACTTTGATTGACTAGTAGCAGCCATCTGGGATTTTTGGGTCAGATCTGTTTCTTTCATTATGAAAAGACAATGATGGCAATAATGTTGAAAGGAAAGGAAATAAATGTATACAGTAAGTAATGAGTTCAACAAACCAAAAATGTGTATCAAACTTTATTTTTGGTCTAACGTGAAATTTATCGCATTTCTTGCCGATCTATTTGTTTTTTACTTTTTCGTTATTTTGTTTTTTCTCTTAATGTTAAAAATATGACAAAAGACATTCCAATAATAGATTTTCATTTGTACAAACAAGATTTAAAAGAATTTTCTGAAAATATTAAAAAAGCAATTGAAAATATTGGTTTTTTTTACTTGAAAAATCATGGAATTACTCTACAAGAAATTTCAGAGATGTTTGAAAATGTAAAGAAAAAAGTTTTGAATTTTCTTCTTTTTGTTTCTAAACAAGAATTCAACAAGTCATTCAATTAAATCAGAACAATGTTATTAAAAATTTCAAAAGTCAGAAAAATTTTTTAAATTGCCATCAGAAGTTAAAAGTCTATACAATCAAAAAAACAATTTTGGATATTCTTCTTTTAAACATGAAATTCTTGATCCAAATAAACAAACTTTGAGTGATTTCAAAGAGTAGGTGAAATAAAATTTTTTTTTTGAAATAACAAAAGGTCGAATCACCTTGCCAATTCAATATCTCTTTACACGCATATTTATTATATAATAATTAATTATTGATTGATTTTAGATCATTTAATTTTGAGACATTTCAAGATGATGGAATATTAACACAAGAATTGCCTAATATCTTTATGGAAAATTTGGAAAAAATTTATAAATTTGAAAAAGTTAAAAAAAAACAATAAATAAATAAATTTTTTTTAAAAAAACTTCCAAGTTAATTCTAAATATTATTTTTTGAAAATATTTAGAAATGTCACAATCTATGTATGAATATATTGGAGGGACTTGCAATCTCATTAGAAATACCTGAATCAGAAGGCGGAAGATTTTGGTTTAAAAGTAGACATAGATATGAAAAGAAATCAGGAAGTGTTTTAAGAGCGTTACATTATCCACCATCAACTTTCTTCACCGAAAATATCAAAGAAAAAGATACTAGAGCTGGAAGGTAAAATAAATAATCGGGTCTTTTCCAATTTTTCTGTAAATTTATTTTTTTTAAAATTCATGTTAAAATAATATAAAATTAATTTAAACTTAGTCATTCAGATTATGGATCTTTAACACTGCTATTTCAAAAAGATGTTGGTGGTTTAGAAATATATTTGAGTGATAGTAATGACAATAGTGGTGATGGAGATAATGGAGAAGAAGAATCCAAGTGGATTTCAGCTCCAATTATACCAGGATGTATAATAATTAATATTGGAGATTTAATGAACTTTTGGACAAAAGGTTTATTAAAATCTACAAAACATCGTGTAGTATTTAAAAACAATACAATGAATACGGATAGATATAGCATCGCCTATTTCCTTCATCCTGAAGATGATACTCATTTAGATCCAATTCCGAGTAGATTTATTGATAATTCCACTATTTCTAATACCGATAATGTTGAAGGAGGGAAGAGTGAAAGAGTGGGAAATGATAGTAGTAAGAAAATGACAGCTGGAGACTATTTAAAATATAAATTAGATATGACTCATTTTACTTATTAACTGATACGAGAAAGTAGTTTTACTTGTTTATATTTATTAATTTATCTTGTTTATTTGTTTATTGTACAAGATTTAGATTATGATCTATTGTTATTATTTGTAAGCAAAATCTAATCTTTTAATATCTTGTTTTTCACTTTACAGTTGCTATCATTCTTAATTGCAGGAATTAAATTGGACAAAAAAGACAATATATTTTTTAATTGTAACAAATTGTATCATAGATTATCACATTTTTATTATAATAACGTAAACCTTATTAGGACTTGTGAATTTAAAATCCATGCCATTAGTTCTTAACAAGTTAAATCAATTTCATAATTACCAGATGGATGGGTCCCTTAGAGGCATATTTTTATGAATTTCATTCGCTTGGCAGAATTTGACTAATACTAACTTCACATCTGCGATCTTCCCCATGGCAATTGTAAGTTGGTGTTTTATTAATATTTCTAAATGCCCCACTATTTTTCTATTTATCATTATGTATATATCTCTTCTAGTATTTATAATGATTCTAAATTCTCATAAATCTTTTTTCGACTGACCATATGAGCCTATGAGATGATTGTAAATTTGGGAAAAGATTTTTGCGTTTATCACTAACTCTTTCCTATCAATGCCAATTCTTCATTTACGGCAATACTTTTCAGGGTTAGCCGGGTTTCTCATTCATACAATTCTAGTCGCACTAATATTAATAGGGAAATACATGCTACTTATTCCAAATCATTGCCTTTGATCGTAACCAAATAACAACAACTCTTTTTGTCAAGTCAATAATGATTGATATTGCTATCCTATTTCTGGTATTGTTATGCAACTATTAAAAACATCTCTTATTTAAATTAATCTTTTCTAGTAATAATAATAGCTTTACTGATTTTTAATCAAAACAGACAATACACTTGGGATTTGGAATTCCCGTAGTTTTGACCCACAGTATAATGGCTCATCTGCATCAAGTATTAAAGGAAATCATATGATCAATTGATTTATGGACACCAAGTTCTAACCAGTAAAAATAATATCAGATATATTTGTGATCGACAATTTTTTTCACACTGCGTTCATTCTATTAGTATAATGTCTATAATTTCAGAAGTCAAACGCGGTATACAATTAGCTTGGTTGGGATTAGTATTAGCTTTTGAGAATCGACATTTACATAAACACACATATGTAAAAGCATTCTTTATATTAGCAGCATTTAGTTTGGTACTTTATCTCGTTACATCAATAGTATTAGTAATACCTTTGAAAATTCTTCAACTTTTAGTATATTTATTTTCTTTTGTATTCAACTACGATCCAAATGTATTTACCGAACGTTACCATTTGTGGATAACAAAATATGTTTTCAATCTTCCTTTCCTAGGCTTATTATTTATGAGATACGTTTACCCAGAACCTTTAGACTCGTTATTCATGGAATCACTTCGTAATATTGACGTAGTTTATTTGAAGAAACATGCTGGTGAAAAAAATCTTAGACCACCTTATACAGAAGCATTAGAACGATATCCATACGGAGCAAATTATTGGGGTGAAATGTGGCAATATTTGAAAAGGACTGGCAATCAAATTCAAATTGCAACAATTTTATTTTTGTTGTCATTGATGCCAATCATAGGTTCGTTTGTTTATCCAATAGCGAGTGCTTACGCTTTGGTAGATTCTTTGGGGTATCCAACTGCCATAACTATAGGGATTTTGATGTATCTTACACCTGGAACAAAACATATTGCCATGGTTTCCTTGGAAACCATATTTTCTACAAGAGCATTAATGCGAGAATTGTTGGAACCTTACTTTGGTAGAATAAGTTTTAGTCCAAGCGAAAAGAAAAAATGGTTTAAAGAAAGAGAAGGATTGTTATTTGGATTTTCAATTGCATTTTATCCGTTAGTTAGATTACCTTTGATTGGTATGCTATTCTATGGTGCTGCTCAGGTAAAATATAAAAAATTTTTTTTTTTAATTTTTATTGAAGATAAAAAAAAAAAAAAAAAAGAAAATAATTAAAAATTTAAATTTACACCATATATATATTATTATTTTTTTAATTAATTAATTATAGGCTGCAACTGCTTTACTTTTAGTTAAAACAACAGATCCACCACCATCACCACCATCATCATCTCATAATGATAAAGATACTGACTGATTCTTAAAAAAAAAAAAAAAAAGTTCATTTTAACAAGATTAAAAATTCATCATTGTATATAGAAGCTCAAGAATAAATACAAATAATATTTATTTTTTATCTTTAACTTTGTTGTTTTGCCATACAATATAAGTGAAAGAAATAATAGATCAAATGATTTCTTTTGCTTCTAAATCAGCCCAAGGATCTTCAAAGAAGGATTTGTGATAATATTTACTAATATCGACGTTTTGATGTTTTGGTGATTGATATTTATTAAAACCTCCACCCCTTCTTCCACCCCTATTTCCACCTCTATAATTGCTATTTCTATATTGCCCTCTTCCATTGCCACCACCACGGTAATAATTATTATAATTTTGTCTTTGTGGTCTGTTGTTATATCCACTATTCCCATGATTATATTGTTGTTGTTGATTTCTCTGAAATCTTTCTTGCGGTTTTTGATTATTATAATTACGAGATCTTTGACCTCTAAAATAATTACCGCCTCTGTTTCCAATTGTTCCAGTGTCATCACTCCTTGGAGTTTCTAGTTCGTTTTGGTCTAACACATTATCATTATCATTATTATTATTATTAATTGACATTTTTAATAAAATCTTTTTTAAAAAATATAATTTCAAATGTCCACAATGATCAACATTACACGTCCCATATAAATCCAAAATTTTCTAATTTTGGTAAAAACCTTAAAATTTATTTTACATCAAACTACCACCATGCATGCTATTTTTTAAAAAAACCAATCATGTCACCTACAAATTTTATTTTTTCCACAGATTACATTTCACCAGAAGTACAAGCAGCGTTACCAAAAGGATACACTATTCGTCCTTTAGCTAGTGATGACTATGAAAGAGGATTCCTTGAGGTGTTGAAAGTTCTCACAACTGTTGGTGACATTTCAAAAGATCAATTCCTTGGTTAGTAGTAAAAATTAGCAGTAAATACTAGTCATAACAAATATAGTGGTGGTGATAGTGGTAGTGGTAGTGGTAGTAGCAGTATCGAATGTTCTTTATAAAATTTATTTTAGTGCATGATATCGTCATCTCTGAGATTTATCTACCTCTGTTGATTATCTTGATTAGAACGATTTTATTTTTTGAAAACGCACAATTATGAATACTTTACACTTGTCATTGTTTCACCCGAAGATCGAATTGTTGGAGCTGGAACAATATTTGTAGAACGTAAATTTATTCGTAACACAGGATTGGTATTTACTTTATTTATTTGATTCTCCAACCTTTTTTTCTTCGCCTTCTTGCAAGTTTAATAATATACTTTTGTGTGTGCGTATATATTGTGGTTAGGTCGGACATATTGAAGACATTGCAGTTGATAAGAATCAACAGGGGAAAAAACTTGGATTAAGAATAATTCAAGCTCTTAAATATATTGGAGCAAAGGCAGGATGTTATAAAGGTAATGTTAAATAACGAATAAATAAAGTTGAATATTGTTCACAATGAGATAATAATATTTTTAAAAATTACTATTTCAAAGTGATATTGGATTGTTCTGAAAAGGTGAGGTTTATTTTTCACGCACTGACACAAATACATTAATAAACACAAACACATGCTAACAAATTTATACATGATAGAATGTACCATTTTATGAAAAGTGTGGGTAAGTAAAATAAAAAAAATTATCATGATTAGGTTATTTATTAATAAAGTGATCAACTCACCTACTCGCTCATCTCATTCAATCATCAGATTTACTAGAAAAGAGGTGGAAATGGCATGGTATACAAACCAACAAGATCAAATTAAATCAAAATTATAGATGATGCTATTTATTTATTTATTTTATTTATTTATTTTTATTTATTTATTTTTATTTATTTATTTTTAAAGATTAAAAATTAAAAAAAAAATTACAAGTTTATTATACACGAACCATTTATATACTAATTGATTGTTGAGTTTAGGTGTCATCCAAAAATAGAGTGGTCTAATGTTTTGGTTCTTTGGCACGCTATGCGTATTTGTAAATAGCATACTTTTTAAGCGAATAGATAACTACTACGTTATCCATTTTTTCTATTTTTTTTTGGCATTAATAAAGATTGATGTCACAAATAAATATCAAAACCCATTTTACATAAAGCACCCGATAATATGATTGTGATTGGCTCGCAAAATTAACGCTTTATTTCGTTTAGTGACAACTTTGCACGACTTGCTTAATTCAACTGTTTTGCTTAGCTTTATTTACCCTGCGGGCGTTATCTCAAATTTAATCATTTCAGATAACTTTATTCCGAGGTATTTGCCCCACATTTAATATTTTAATTACGTATTTTGGTTGCTTTTTCAAGTTAGTGATTTCATTTAATAAATTTTTTTATCTTTATGATATCGCTGATCCTTGTTTTTCAATGTTTAATAAAGATAAGTTCACACGATTTTCCTTATCCTGTTTTGAACTTTGACTAACAATCTTGTATATACTAAACGCTCATCACCATATATGTACACAAACCTGATACGTCCATTTTTCTTGTTGCATTTGTTTTTCTCTAACCACTACTTAAATTTTTTCGACGGTCGTGGAACTCTCTAATGTGATGAATACCTTTATACGATTTCAATCAAGAGTTGAAAATCCCTGTCATTCTTCTTCAAAACCCGTTAATTATACAACACATTAGAGAGAAACATATTCAAGACCGATTTTTATTATGTCGTACAGAGCTTACACAAAAATACAAAAATATAAAAAAAAAGTAGATTGAAAATTTTAAATTTAAGATATTTTTTTTTTTTTAAAAAAAATCGGAATTGGGAAGGTGGATTATTTGATAAGTAAAATAAAATAAAATAAAACATAATAAATCTATATACAAATAAATGGCTTCTTTAAATTTAAATGTGAGTGGATTATTATTATTGTTGTTGTTGTTATTATAATTATTATTGAATATAAAATAAATAAATCATTTTTAAACAACTATATATATTTTTTAAATCAACAACAACAACAACAACATGATGTCTGATATATACAATTAAAAAGGTTGTAAGGTGGGCAGCATTGGTATTTGGAATAACTTATGGATTTGTGCATCATAGATCATTAGCACATGCCGAAGCTAAGAATAAAGCAATAGCGAATTATAAACATAAAGAAGAATTGATTTCTAAAGCAAAAGCTGCATACGCTGCTAAGCTTGCAGAAAAAAGTTCAAAAGAAGGTAATAAAAAAATTTTTTTTTATTTTCTTTGCTTTTAATAAATAACAATAATAATAATTGTCATCATTGGAGTGTACACACATACACATATTTAATATTTTTTTCTTTCTAAAATAATCCTTAAAAATAGTTATAACGAATCCAGATGATCCCAACTTTGATTTAGAAAAACTTTTGGTTCATTATGGAAGCAAAGAAAACCATTAAATTATTTTCTAAATTTAAAAAATTCAAGATTAAACCAAATAAATATAAAAAAAAGAACTTTTTAGAAGATGATGATTCTTAAACATCCTTAACATATATATTTATATGTATATTATATATTTATATAAAGTCAGTATATAAATTATATTATTGCATGCAAAAATTTTTTATTCCTTAAAACAAGCACATTCACACACACATATATACATTCATACATACAAACACAAATTTTTAATAATGGATTTTTTTAATTATTATGATGATTATTATTACTATTATTATTATTATTATTATTATTATTATTATTATTATTATTGCTAAATTAAAGAATTCCCAAAACAAATTTAAAAACAATACTTGAATATTCTTGAATCATTTGGGTTTGAGGTTTGTAATCCATAAAAAAAAATTACGTGATAAAATAAAAATGGTTTGGAGGAAAAAATATTTTTTTGATTTATTTGTTTTTCAATTCGTGTTACAATGAATGGTGACAAGAATATTTTTGTCTCAACAAGATCAAATTAAATCAAAATTATAGATGATGCTATTTATTTATTTATTTTATTTATTTATTTTTATTTATTTATTTTTATTTATTTATTTTTAAAGATTAAAAATTAAAAAAAAAATTACAAGTTTATTATACACGAACCATTTATATACTAATTGATTGTTGAGTTTAGGTGTCATCCAAAAATAGAGTGGTCTAATGTTTTGGTTCTTTGGCACGCTATGCGTATTTGTAAATAGCATACTTTTTAAGCGAATAGATAACTACTACGTTATCCATTTTTTCTATTTTTTTTTGGCATTAATAAAGATTGATGTCACAAATAAATATCAAAACCCATTTTACATAAAGCACCCGATAATATGATTGTGATTGGCTCGCAAAATTAACGCTTTATTTCGTTTAGTGACAACTTTGCACGACTTGCTTAATTCAACTGTTTTGCTTAGCTTTATTTACCCTGCGGGCGTTATCTCAAATTTAATCATTTCAGATAACTTTATTCCGAGGTATTTGCCCCACATTTAATATTTTAATTACGTATTTTGGTTGCTTTTTCAAGTTAGTGATTTCATTTAATAAATTTTTTTATCTTTATGATATCGCTGATCCTTGTTTTTCAATGTTTAATAAAGATAAGTTCACACGATTTTCCTTATCCTGTTTTGAACTTTGACTAACAATCTTGTATATACTAAACGCTCATCACCATATATGTACACAAACCTGATACGTCCATTTTTCTTGTTGCATTTGTTTTTCTCTAACCACTACTTAAATTTTTTCGACGGTCGTGGAACTCTCTAATGTGATGAATACCTTTATACGATTTCAATCAAGAGTTGAAAATCCCTGTCATTCTTCTTCAAAACCCGTTAATTATACAACACATTAGAGAGAAACATATTCAAGACCGATTTTTATTATGTCGTACAGAGCTTACACAAAAATACAAAAATATAAAAAAAAAGTAGATTGAAAATTTTAAATTTAAGATATTTTTTTTTTTTTAAAAAAAATCGGAATTGGGAAGGTGGATTATTTGATAAGTAAAATAAAATAAAATAAAACATAATAAATCTATATACAAATAAATGGCTTCTTTAAATTTAAATGTGAGTGGATTATTATTATTGTTGTTGTTGTTATTATAATTATTATTGAATATAAAATAAATAAATCATTTTTAAACAACTATATATATTTTTTAAATCAACAACAACAACAACAACATGATGTCTGATATATACAATTAAAAAGGTTGTAAGGTGGGCAGCATTGGTATTTGGAATAACTTATGGATTTGTGCATCATAGATCATTAGCACATGCCGAAGCTAAGAATAAAGCAATAGCGAATTATAAACATAAAGAAGAATTGATTTCTAAAGCAAAAGCTGCATACGCTGCTAAGCTTGCAGAAAAAAGTTCAAAAGAAGGTAATAAAAAAATTTTTTTTTATTTTCTTTGCTTTTAATAAATAACAATAATAATAATTGTCATCATTGGAGTGTACACACATACACATATTTAATATTTTTTTCTTTCTAAAATAATCCTTAAAAATAGTTATAACGAATCCAGATGATCCCAACTTTGATTTAGAAAAACTTTTGGTTCATTATGGAAGCAAAGAAAACCATTAAATTATTTTCTAAATTTAAAAAATTCAAGATTAAACCAAATAAATATAAAAAAAAGAACTTTTTAGAAGATGATGATTCTTAAACATCCTTAACATATATATTTATATGTATATTATATATTTATATAAAGTCAGTATATAAATTATATTATTGCATGCAAAAATTTTTTATTCCTTAAAACAAGCACATTCACACACACATATATACATTCATACATACAAACACAAATTTTTAATAATGGATTTTTTTAATTATTATGATGATTATTATTACTATTATTATTATTATTATTATTATTATTATTATTATTATTATTGCTAAATTAAAGAATTCCCAAAACAAATTTAAAAACAATACTTGAATATTCTTGAATCATTTGGGTTTGAGGTTTGTAATCCATAAAAAAAAATTACGTGATAAAATAAAAATGGTTTGGAGGAAAAAATATTTTTTTGATTTATTTGTTTTTCAATTCGTGTTACAATGAATGGTGACAAGAATATTTTTGTCTAGAAAATTTTTTGTTTTTTTTTTTCTGAAATAAATACAAAATGGAAGAACAAACACAAACAGTTATTGATCAAAATGTTGTTGAAACATCACCAACCATTTCTGCACCTACTGCTGTAACATCAGCAACGGCACATATTCAAGCACAACAACTACAACAAATACAACAACAACAAAACCAACAATTTATGGAAAAAGTAAGTGCAAAAATAATTTATATATTTTACTTCCAAGCTAATTAGCTAATTAATAATAATATATATATTGAAACAATTCAAAAAAAAAAAAAAAGTTTTGGAATGAACAGCTCAACATTGCGACAAATTTTGAAAGCGATTTCAAGAACCATTCATTACCTTTAGCTAGAATCAAAAAAGTAATGAAAAGTGATCAGGAAGTCAAGGCAGGTTTTTTCTTCTTTCCATTACCACTTGATGTTTGGTTTTATCAGTTATAATTAAAAAAAAATAAATTTAACTAAATTAGATAAATAAATACAAACAAACATTTATTTATTATTAGATGATTAGCGCAGAGGTAGGATCATTGTTTGACATTTTTTTATAATTGTTATTTTGTTGTCGAGAGAAAAAAATTAACATGTATTTATATATATCAGGCGCCAATTATATTTTCTAAAGCGTGTGAAATCTTTATAACAGAAATTACCATGAGAGCTTGGATTCACGCAGAAGAAAATAAACGGCGTACATTACAACGAAGTGACGTTGCATCAGCTGTCAATAGATCTGATCAATTCGATTTTTTGATAGACATTGTTCCTAGAGAAGAAATGGCAAAAACTGTAAATAGAAGACAAAAGGAAGAAACTGTAGGCGTTAATAATACCATATTTACCATTTCTATTATTCGTATTATTTATTTATTATTCATATATTCACATTTATATTTATTTATATAAATATTCTTTATCTAAATTTCTTACTTGACTAAACAAATCAGTCTACAGAACAAGTTTTCAGCGATCAAAATGTCTCGGCATATTACACACAACAACCTGGTCTTCAATTCACATCAGAAAATGAAACGGCTAGTTATTTCCAACAATCAAATAATTAGATAAATATATTTTTAATTGATAGTAGTGATTATTATAATGTGATACAAGTATGATTGGCATATTATAAATATTAAAAATAAAAATAAACCCCTACTTATTACGCGTGAAATAGTGGCTGCAGATCGTCGCGTAAATACGTAATTCCATATGAATGTAAATTTTTGACGTTTCTTCTTTTGAGGAACAATCAATCCTTTAAAACCCGAAATGACGATGACATATTAGATTATCATGTATATACATAAAAAATGTGCGTAATAATCTCATATATTTTATGGTGCGTGGGTAGATTGTTCAACAACGTGTAGTACCTCGAGCGTTATATATAGTAAAGATATAACTAACTAATTCTACCATAGTACAAATATGTGTTGTATATGCTATATTAATATATATATATAAGAATTGGTTCCCGAGTAATCCTTCAATTCTGCACATTTGTGTGCACGATCAAAAATTTTTAATTGTTCCTTTGATAATTTATGATGTATAGTTGATTGATTGGTTGGTTGGTTGGTTGGTTGGTTGGTTGGTGGATACATTCTTCAGATGATAAACAAAAAAAATTAATTCCTCAATGTAAAATAATAATAATGTTATTATTAAACGATGATGATAAATCAAAAGTCGCCGATCTTTGTGGAATTCGTGGGTGGCTAAAGAGATTGTATCCCTGAAATATATATATTATATAGGGCTTCGCTTATTGTTAGTCATTTCTTGTCACATTGTGATTTATAATGACATAATAATAGCCTTTAATTTATCTTTTAAAAGAAATAATATTAATGATCAGGTGAATGTGAATGGTGACATTCACATTATTAATTAATATAGGTATAAATGGAAATGAAAAGATTATTATTTTTCAAATAATAGTATATAATAAGTTTAAATATTTGAAGATCGTCACATCTCATTGTTCTCCAAATAATCCAGTCAGACACATGAAATTCAAAAAAAAGGTTTGTTTATTATTCAAATATCATTTGATAATTGATTTTCAATATAATTACCAAAAATAAAATACATGTGACCTTGCTATATGATGATGATGTTATGTGTATGTATACAACAGCATTTTAAAATAAACATTTGGATTAGTAAGTAGATGATTATGGTCAATGCTTAAATTCTAATCTATCTTGCGGAAGAAATCTGATGGTTGAAAAAAATGCTTTTTTTTTTTTTAAACAAATCAAAAAAATTGTAAAATTTATTTTTCATCCTATGAATAACAATAAATCAATTGAAATTTCCTTTTCTTTATATATATGTTCTATTTCTTTTTCAAAAAAAGAAAATAATTGTTTATTGATTTGTAAAATTTCACATGCCGATTTAAGTTGCTAAAACTTTAACTTAAAAAAATTAATTAATATAGTTTTTTTAATTGGTTCATTTCTTAATGTTATTATATTTGCTATTTAATATTATTCCTGATTTTATATAAAATGTTATACAACCGTGTTTTTTCAGGTGATTTTCAAACAAATGTTTACAATTTGAATGCCTAATTACTCTAATTACTCATAATATTTTCACATTTTTTTTTTATAAAGTAGACTTATCATCGATTTCCCCCTTTTTTATTAAAAAATTTTTTCTAAATTTAAATTTTTTTTTTTTAAAAAAAAGAAAAATAAATACTACTTCATTCGGTTTGCTGCTGATTTTTTTTTATGACAAAAGTTTTTTAATAAAAATAATTATAATTATAATTATTATTTTCAAGAAAGAAGTCTTTTGCTCCACAATTCAAAATACACGTACACACACACACACACACACACGATAATTAAATAATTTATTTATTTATCAAAAAGAACTTTTTTACGAATTCATATCCATCATCCATCTTAACGATTAATACATAACATGTCGCTGGACGGTAAAAAGAATATTTATTATTTATTGTTGTTTATTTATTTATTGTTTATTATTATTGTTCCGGTTACTATAATAATAATGTTTTATTTACATTTGCATTCTCTCCCATCAATATTTTCGCACACGTAAAATTAGAAAAACACCAAACTAATGGTATCAAGGAAGTTGATGATAAACACCATCAGATAAACGGTATTGACGAAAATGTCGCACCGGAATCAGTATTTATGAAAAAAATGTTGGGAATACCCGCAATCAATGACATGCATAACTTCGCTAAGGAGAGTAAATACGGGAAAATAGGATACCAAATGGTTGGCTCTGCTGGCAACATTGTATCAAAAGCTACTAAACCTTTCCAAAATCAAATAAAACAAGCAGACGAATTTGCTGCAAATTCTATAGGTTATGTCGAAGATAAATTCCCCTCCATCAAGAAGCCCACGGCAGACCTTGTCGATGATTTAAAAAAGCCCATAGCTACCGTTGGTAATACGATCGACAACAAATGCATCACCCCAGCCATGAATATTGCTACAAGTGTCCAATCGCAAATCAATCAACGTGCTGTTGAACCTACAATCGAGATCGCTAAAAAGGTCGATGCCAGTTTCGAAAGTGTCGTGGATGTGTTCGAGTCCACACTTAACACTTATTTACCCGAAGATCAATCCACTAATGAAAGATCCGTCAACACCACCACAGTTAACGACTCCACTTCTGCTGATCTTCTCCAAACCTTCCGCGCTATCAACATAGCTTTAATAGGTCAAAGACGTCTGACTAAACGCGTCAAGGCTCAAATCAACAGTACTCAAGAATATACAGGGGAACAACTTAAGCAACTCCAAGAATCAAACCAACTCTTAAAGAGTGCATCTGAAACCGTAGCCAGTCTGAATCAAATGTTGCTTGGCATTGTCGTTAATGTAAGAGGTACAGTACAAAATCCTGAAATTGCTTCAACTCTTCATTCTAAATTACACGACATTGCTTCTATAATTCTTGGCAATGTGAATAAAAATGAAGATTTACCAAAAGCTGTTCAAGCTCGTGTAATTGAATTATCACAATCACTTTTGCAAACAACTGATTCGATTGCCACATATGTCCGGGCAAATGCAAACTACTTTCCTGAATACATTCGTTTAAAACCCCTCACAGATTTCTTTGAACAACGATACGTCGAGATCGTAAAAGAAATTAAAGAAGGTGAGGGTTCTCCGATTGAGAAGGCCAGAAAAGTCATCAACATCACCACACAACACACACTACCACTTTTGAACGATCTACAAGAATCCGTCCAATCGTACAGCTCATCTCTTAATGATTCCTTCATCAACACCACTGGAAAAGTAAAATCAAGATTCGTCGGTGTCAATTAACTAACCAATGACTGTGGATATATATATATATTACAATAAATAATACATATTTATTTATTACTATTTATTTATTAAATTAACTAGTCGCGCTTTTTTGATCATAATTGTCGACTGATTACTATCACATTATCATTCCCCTTTTTTTATTTATTCCTACCACCACCACCAATAATAATATATTTATGTAAGAATGAATGTGTGTGTAAAATGTATTTGGTGAAAAATAGAGGCTCCTTTTTTTTTCACCAATTAAAATCAAAAAATTTTATCATTCTCCTCTTTATTTTTTCTTTTACCATTTCTCTTCCATCATTTCATCGTTATTATTTTTTCTTCTTTCATATATACATATACATTATACATATACATATATATATATATATATATACATATATAGATATAATTGGTTCATTCAGAAAATTTTTAGTTTGTTCTATTTTTTTTTTTTTTTTTTTTTTTGTTTATTCAT